AGATGCACTCAGAGCCTTGAACCACAAACAGATTTTGGAAAAAGCTTTGATTAGAGTCCCAATGAATAATTTTCATTACACCCATGACCATTCAATTTAAGTTCACCCTGATGTTTAATGGTTCCTTAGTTCATTCCAGTCTACTAGAAATTAGTTCTTTCTAATTATGCCTATACATTCTTTGTGGTTCTTTCACTCTTCCCTTCTCCTATAATTTTCTGCCTTTGTAGCTTTTCTACTTCAAGAGGATAGCCAGGAAAGGATCCTTTGAAGTACTTTTTTTTCCCTTGTGAATGAAAGCTAGAGGGAAAAGATTTGCGGCTACTTAATTGAAAAAGCAATATGGAAAGCTCTCATTTTATGGATGAAAAAAAAAACTAATCGTCAAAGAAGCTAAGTGATGGCTCAAAGTCACAAATCCAATAAGTGGCCAAATGGAACTAGGAAATATCTCATAACTCCCAGTCCAGTTGGTTTTTGCTACTTTCATTGGGGGAAATGATGCAGGGCCAAGGAGAACATGCAGTTGGCAACTGGGGGCAGAACACATAATGATGTGGACAAGTGAATCAGAACTTTGGCTGGCCTTGTTAACTTTGAAAGCTACTGATTAGAATGTACTGTTAACTGATGGAAACTACTTTGTATAGTCTTTTTCAGCCTTATTTCCTAAATAAGATGAACATCTCAACTTTTTAATACTTTATGTAGCTTATGTTACACAACCTCATTAAGAATTTTATTTTATTCATATGTAGAACGGGGACAATACCTACATTGCCTACTTCACAGAGTAATGAGGAAGATCAAGTGAAATAAGGCATAGGAAATATTTTGATAACTTTAAACAATATAAGATACAAAGGATTAATTATCATTTGAATTATTAGTTTGCAAATTTATCATTGTATCTAATTGCTATATGCCATAAGCCACAAAGACATCTTTTTAGATGCCTTTTCCTCCAAAATCCTCACTTTAAAGATTAGGAAACTAAGCCTAAGGATGGTTAAGTAACTTGTACAAAGTCACACAGCTAATTGGAATGTAATATTAGAACTCCAGCCCTTTAAATCCAGCACTTTTCCCACAACACCACCCTGATGAGTAGGGAGGTGGCACAGTGGATAGAAAGCTTCAAGACCTGAGTTCAAATCCAGCCTCAGACACTTATTACCCGTGTGATCCTAAGCAAGTCACTTAACTTCTATTTGCCTCTATATGCCTATATAAAATGGGGGTAATAATAGCACCTACCTCCTAGGTTTGCTGTGAGGACAAAATGATAATATTTGTAAAGTGCTTAGCACAATGCCTCACATATAGTAGGCATATAAAAAAATACTTCTTTCCTTTCTGACTTCAAAACCAGCCCACATTACATTTTAGCACGCTAACTAGTTGTGGAATCTTAGACAACTGAGTTGTATGTGGCTTAAGATCCTACTTCTCTACCACCTAGCTACTTCTAGAGAACCAGAGCTACACTTCCACCTGTATCAAAACTATGTTTGGCATATAACTTCATTCACCTCTCTGATTGCTTTACTCCCTCATTAATGGGCATAAATGAATGCAATTATTATTAATGAAATAGGCACAATAATATATGTAGTATCTACTTAATAAGGTTATGAGGAGGATCAATCGAAGTAGTATTATGCAAAGCACCTTGTAAGTCTCCAAGTGTCACATGAATGTCAGATATATTTATTAGTAGCACAGCTGGAACTAAATGTCAGGTCTGTTGACTTCTAGTGATTCTGACTATAGTCCACAACCAAAGAAAATTAACTTCCAGTTGTATATTTGTACATTTTTGAGGAGGTGGACAGAGGAGGCATCTGTACCCATAATTTCATTGGTTAAGTATAGGAAATGCCCCGTGTGGAAAAGCCTATCACCAATGCAGAAAAGCAATGTATCTGGAATTTATATTAAGTTTTCTGAGACAATGTTAAGTGACTTTCATATGTCACGTGGTTTAGTATGCATCAAAGGCAGGATACATGTTGGTCTTTCTGAGTCCCAGGTCAACCCTCTATTCATTATACCATGCCACCTCTTCATAGGTTCATTAAATATAAATTATTTACCTCCCTCCACAGATGTCCTATCACGATTTCAAAATGATCTAAAGAAATAGTCTTATGATTTCAATCCATATGTGATCCTTGATTTAGTTAAGTGTTGAAATCAGAATGATTTGTATCAATTCTGGCTTTTGTGGTAACCTTCTAAAATCTGCCAAGATTATAAGTGAAGGTTAGGGAAAAGAATGGCAAGATGGGGCATTCCTAGGAAGGCCTTGAAGGTAAACAAGGAGAATCTATTCTTTACTAAAAAGTTAAAATAATAATTCATACTTTTATATCACTTCAAGGTTTGCAAAACACTCTCCTCGGAAAGGTTGGTAGGTGCTTCAAGGATTGTTATTCCCATTTTACTCCATTGATTTTTCCACTGCATCACATTGAGTCTTTCCTTATATTTTCTCTTATAATTAAGCTCCAATACTCTATCTTTTCACAACCATTAAGTAAAGCATCTTTTCACCACCAGAACTAGCTCTGTATTAACTCATTTGTTTGTTGGAAATCTGCTGAGGCAGATGTGACTAGCTCAGGGGTCACACAGCTAGTAAGAGTCTGAATCTAGATTTGAACTCAGGTCCTCAGGTCTTCAGGTCTCCAGGTCTAGTATTTTTGTCCCTTTTCAAAAAAATAGATGAACAATATGATAAAGCAAGAAGATATTATTTGAGTATTTATTATGTGGTGTTGTGAATAATGTTGGAGAAAAAACCTGTAATTCACAATTCTCCAGTTATCCCAGCTATATGTCACCTAGAAAAGTGTTCCAGGATAAATATTCCATCATTCTGACTCCCTCACATGGTAGATGTTCTGTATTTGTCCTTTTCAGTAATGGCCAAAAATCAAGATCTCCTTGAAGTACAAGTTATAAGTAAGACTTGAAAAGGCAATGGCAGTGGCTTTTGGGTCAAGAAATTACCAATCTAATTTTGTGGAGGCTCCTACCAGCAGAACATTCCTGAATACTTTGAGGAAAACTCTGTTCCCATGCCTTTGAGTGATTTTATAGAACAGAACAGGAGGGTAGCAAAGAGACACAAAGCCAAGTGTGGACTAAGCCCCATGATCCACATGGGAGACATTATTCTAAGTTGTCAAGTCTACCTTCTAAAATGGAAAAAAGGTTTCTCTGCTAAAAATTCTTTAAAACTTCCTAAATGAGTAAATTAAACCCTACCCAATGCCTTTGAATTGCTATTTTGCCCACATTCCTTTGGAATTTTGTAAGTTCAAAGACTTCATCAAGATTATCAAATCTCTCCAAGAGGTTTTTGTCAGGATTTTTGCCTTTTGTCAGTACTCTTACTAGCTTTTGCCAACCCATGTAGGGAATTGGACCCAAGAGAAGGCCCTGAAACATGTGACTTGTTACATATTTTAGCCCTGTCTTTCTATTAGTTCACTCCTCACAAAATTCAGTCACCTTGTATAAGGCCTTGGGTGCAAAGAAAAATTTGACTGAGTGCATATGATTTTTCAAGTGTCATAGTGTCCAGATCTGACATTCAGCATCACTACAGTATGTGGTACATTTATATCAACAGTGCAACCCAGGGCAATCTGTCTTTCTATGTTTTGTTATTTTTTAGGTGACAACTGCAAAAGCCACTCCCATATTTATGTCATCTTAACATCTGCACACTTTAAAATCAGTTTACCTTCTAGAAAGAGTCAGTGTGGCATCATAAATGGAAACTTGGAATCAGGAATCCCAGGATATAAGTTCTGTTTCTGACACTTCCTAGCTGTGTGACCCTTGGAAAATCATGTAACTTCTCTGTGCTCCCAGGTAGCTCTCTATGAAACTATGTTAAATCTACTTGTAGACAACTGGTGGAAAGAACTTCAATCCTGGTAGTTATCCACACTGATTAAAAAGAGATATACTTGGTTACTACCTGAGAATTCAAATTTGGGGGAACCAGATGCTAAAGTCATGCTATAGTGAGGACATTTACTTCATTTGGAAAATTCAAGTATTTCTCTTCTTAGAAATCAATTCTTCATGCTAATTGTAGTAAGATGGTGATAGGGCAATACAGTCATTGCCTGTATGAGTTTAAAGGTGTGCTCTTTTCAGAAGAAATGCTTTTCCTTACAAATGTGCTATATTTTTATTCATGGCAGGTATGGATGGGCTGGGATCTACATCAGTGGAGGAAATACCCACATCAATGAGATCGCAGATTTACTGGAGCACCAAAACAAGAATTTTCCTGGCTGGTGCAATCAGGTCATGGCTGCTCCAAATGAGGAGTAAACGTTGTTTTTCCACCATATGCACTGCTTCATCAATGCATTGGGAATTTGCTTCAGCTGCTCAGTATTTTTTTTCCCTTCCTTGGTCTAACAGGAGAAATCCTTTTTTCACAGGCACTAAGAAGATTCCGAAAGGTCACTGCATGTGATATCACATATACATTTCTGATTAAGGGGAGTGCCACTAGAAATTCAGGAAGCTGTTGATATTCACTATGGATATTTCTAAAATGCCAATGCCTGTTTTCAGATTTCAATGGACCACAACAGCCTAGTGCCCCTTGTCCAAACTTCCCCATGGGGGCTTCTGGACAAATAAGTTCTGATTTTCTTCTAAATTTAATGTAAGTTTCTTCTATTTATATTGCCATTTTGGGGAGGGGAAGAAATTATTTTTTTTTAACTGAGGAGTTCATTCTCTCAGTAATTGGCACATATATATATATGACATATGCATAAATATATATATATATATAACATTAAAGAACATATAAAAAGCTTTGATTTCAGGAGAAAGGAATGGTTTTGCTTAAAAAAAGAAGTTTAAAAGGTACCCTGCACTAAGTGCATTATTGTTAAGGATACTACTACATAGCAGCAAAAAACGAAACAAAACAAAATAAAACAAAGCAAAACAAAACACCACTACATTAAACTTTCTGATTTCTTCATAGGGTCCTTAGATAAGTAGACTACCCAGTAGACCATATTAAATGCTCCAAATGTGACAGGGAAGAGAATCCGGGCATATTTGTCTATTTTACTCGTGCCAGAGCCTAAAGGTGGGGGCGCAGGGGGAGGCGTGACAGCCGACGATTTTCCAGAAGATCCAAAAGTATTGACCTTGGTTTGGATCTGTTTCAGTCTCGATCCAAAAACATGACGCCTCGCTGGAGAGACAGTGGAGACCAGCTGGGACATATACCCAGTTAAAATAGGAGTGGATGGAGGAGCTGGAGGAGGTGCTCGAGCAGCAGAGATTGTCTCAGCTGCATTTGCCCGACTGAATGGGTTGGGACTGGAAGCCAGATGTGATCGTGGTGTGGTGCCAGAAAGCCCCTGAGCTTCTGCAGAAGTTCCCATGGACGCGTTTCCAGTCTCGGTCCTGTTGCCAACATCAGCATCAGATTGAACTGGTACATTGGTTCTTTTTCTCACATTTGAATTGGCATCTGTATTCTGAAAGAGTAAGCAGGGGGAGGGAAAGAGAATCAGTATCAGACATATAATTATTTTAAGCATTTGGACTAATGTCGAGTGGGGTTAAAACTCCTTCCAGTAGGCCAGATCTTGAAAATCAATCCTTAAATATAAAGCATTCCATGGTACTTTAGCTTCACACAGAAGCTTAAAATATTATTCTAAATTCAAATGAATTTCCATGTACTTCAAGTTGTCAATCAAGGACCATATTCTCAATACATTAATTATTTCTATAAATAATTGGACAATGAATCTGCAAGGAACTGTATTAAGCAAGGAATGTGTTTTTTTTTTTTATTTTGAAAGTTCATGCCTTTAGCTGTATATATTCTGCATTCATTGTTCTCTTCTATTGTAAAGTATCTCGTGTCTGAAATTCTCCAATTAGGCATTGTAAACATTTCAATAATTTTTTTAAGCAGAAGGAACATCTGTTTTTATGCTCTGCATGACAAAACATAGTTTCGTACTTGTGTTAACTCCTTCCTTTTGAGAATTAAAAAAAAAAATCTTTAATTTCCAACTCCTCAACACTTCCTTTCATAAGAAGAGCCTTAAGCTATATGTTATACATGATACTGGTGCACTTGGGTGTTTATATGAGAGGGATGACCTGGGAGTTAGGAATACCTGGGGTATTCTAATATACCAGGGATGTAGTGGAGCCAGCTCTAAACAGGCTAGTGAGTACCTATAGGAAAATTTTTATTACGTGCATTTATACCTGAGAAATCCACAAGACTGAGGAAAGTGATGGAGAAAATGCCAAAAATGCCGATTAAGCTTAAAAGTGAACCTCCTTTCCCTCCTCCCCAACGATTGTTAAACATTTGCCAACACACTGCTGGTTTCAAAACTTTCCCCTGACACTTGCAATCTAAGAGACCACAGGCGAATCACTTAACCTCTCAGTGCCATAGACCATTCTCTATATATAATATATATATATATATATTCTCTATATATAATTCTCTATATATACTATATACAGACACACACACATACATATATAAACACATATAAATGCATGCATGCATGTATGTATATATGCAACATAAACACAAGGTAACTTGGTGGGGAGGGATTAGCAGCTACAGGAATTAAGAAAGGCCTTAAGTTAGAGGCCCCCCTCTTGAGCTGAACTTTGGAGGAAAGCAGTGATTCCAACAAACCAAAAGTTATTAAATCTGATCGTGGAATGAATTGTGATTTTTGTCATCCTGATTATTATGCTTAAGTAATATTTCCTAAAAAAAAAGATTTTACCCCCAAGACATAGCACAGGAAGGGAAAGAGCAGCTCAAAAGGGAGACAGATTCAGAAGGAAGCCAACAATGGATAAAATACTGATTGCAAGTATCCACAAAGTAAATCATCTACACTCAGATAACGAAGAGTTGGCTGCATAAAGGAGGTCTATTTTGCTTATGAAAACATTTTTGTTTTGGTACCCCCAATAGTCTTAAAGGCCCACACCAGGTATGCTACCCAAGTTCAATTCCTATCTCACAAACACAATGAATCATGATTCCAAGGTCACTGGGTGTAGAAAGTGAAAGTTCTAAATTTGGAACCAAATGAGACTCTGGGAGGGAGAGGAAACATTCTTCATGTCAGCCTACAGTAATTTTCCAAGCAGGTTGCAGTTGAAGTAACGAGAAGACATAGTTTAACATATGGCAGGCACCTCAATTTGAATGAAGACAATTGAAGGAACAATTGACATCCACCTAAAAGTTGAAGAGCCCATTACTTACCCAGCACTTTTTTTTTCTGAAAAGCATTTATGAACATTGCCTAATTAATCCTCACATCTTTAATCCTTCTGTGCTGAAGATATTATTGCTTCCAGTTTATAGAACAAGAAAATGAACCAGAGAGTGACTTGGCCAAGGTTACAGGGAGATGATGAGAGGGGGAGGGGAAGGGAAATATGCTCTTTCTCCCCATTTAGAATCCCAGTTTTTACAAAATCTGTTGATTCCAATTCAGTTCAATGCAGTTCAACTCAATTCAACAAGTATTATTGAGTACCTACTATGTCCTCATTGTTATTATGGAGCTTGAATAGAAAACAAGTAAAAAGAAATAGAAACCATAGTCTTTAACCTCAAAGTGCTTACTTACTATCTTATGGACTCAGGAACACATGGCAATGAATGGTAAACATGAGGCAGTGTGTGTTCAAGCACCAAAATATGTGGCATAAATATTTACTAAATTACACAAAAGGAGGGAAAGGAGAAATGACTAAATGAGCAGTTGAACTTATATTCCAAAATAGGCATGAAGTAAACACTTTTAAATATAATCTAATCTTTAGGTGGCAGCATCAATTGAAAAAAAAATCAACAGGCTGGTTCATTGGGCAACATTTCAAATTTGACAGGGATAAATGTAAGGTCTTTTCTCACGTTTTTGTTTAAAATGTTAACTTCGCAGACAAAGGATGAGGAAGTATGGCTAGTCAGCAGTTCAAAAGTGAAAAGCTGAATGAAATGTAGGCTTGGTATCAATTGTCAGTGTCATATGGCTACCAAGAAAGCTACTGCAATCTCAGGCGACATTAAGAACAGCATAAAGACCAGGGCTAGGGAGGTGACCATTCTTTCTTTATCAAATCATTCCAAGAATACTTTGGCAGTTTGGGGTACCACATTTTATTGCTGCTGCTCTTCAGTCACATGAGTTGTGTCTGACTCTTCATGGCCCCATTTGGGGTTTTCTTGGCAAAGGTACTGGAGGGGTTTGCCATTTCCTTCTCCAGCTCATTTTACAGATGAGGAAACTGAGGCAAACAGGGTGAGGCGACTTGCCCAGGTTCACACAACTAATAAGTGTCTGAAGCCAGATCTGAACTCAGGAAGATGAGTCTTCCTGACTCTTGGCCTGGCACTCTATCCTCTGCACTTCCTGGATGCCTCTCCCTTCATTTTATATAAGAATTCTGTCCAGAGGAGGGTAACGAGAATGGTGAAGGGATTCAAGGTCCATACCACAGGAGAGTCAGTTGAAGTCTCTGGAAATGTTAGGGAGTGATATGCTAGCTGTCTTCTAGTATATGAAGGTTTGTTATGTGTTTGGTCCCAGAGGGCCAAACTAAAAGCAGATCTAGTTCTTTTACAAAGAAAAACTCCCTAACAATTAGTACTAGCCAAGAAATGGGATTGGCTACCTTAGGACATAGTATTTTTTTCCCTTCACTGGAGGTCTTCAAGTAAAAGTTTAATGACATCTTGTTGGGTATGGATGAAAAGAATTTTGGATAGTATATATTCCAGTCCCCTTCCTCCCACAGGGCAGACTTCAACTCCTTCAAGCTGACTCATCCTATATGAAGCTAATCCATGTCAGTCTGTAAATCCTCCAAAGATCATTTACATAATACGTGTGAGCCATTCCTCCAGTTCTTTTAATAATTAAGTATTAATATAGCACTTGAGCTATATATTTATTGCACTTGATTCTCACTACATGACTGGTCTACTTTTTCTATTTATGAATCTCCTTAAAGATGTCTTTTATACTATTTATCACACAGGTCTATGGAATATGATATATATGGTATTAAAATAATATAATTAATATACAAATACACTATATCAATTATATTATATAAATATATAAATAGCATATATAAACATAATCATTAAGCTATCATTATGCCCTATATATTATCTATGTGCCATGGTATATATGGCATAATGTATTACATTACTACCTACTCATACCCACCATTCATCTTTCCATTGTTCTTTGGAGCACCTGCAACATTAAGTCTTCTGAGATAGTGGTGTTCCATGACTCCAGACCATATCATAGCTCCAGGTGCTAAAGAAATGAACTTATTTAGCAAGGGAACTCTAGGGTCACTCAACACACTTTGGAATGTCATTATCTGCCCTAAATTTTAACCTGTAACACAGGGAACTGTCTATCTTAACCCTCTTAAAAACAGTTTCTTATTCAATTATTTTTACTAAGGCCAATGGTGATAACATGACAACCCCTTACTGACTATTTTTGTGAATATGTGCCTTGATGTTGGCTAGGTCTGTCTATCATTCATTGCCTATCCAAAGTCTGTGGCACTGTGCCAGATAGCGAAGAAACCTTATGGTAGAAACCACCTATGGGAAACCACTGATAAGTGATGCAACATCATCATACAACCATCAAGTGCTTCAATAGGACAACGGATTCCTTAACATTTCCATACTACAGATTTCAGGAGCCAGATCATTCCACTTAATGATACACTGATGGAATCCAAAGTTCCACCCCCACACCCAGCAGCAAGTCCCATATTTTCAGAGAACTGCTTAACCCCTAGAAGAAGCTAAATTGTTCTATAACTAAAATAACATTGCTCCAAATCTCACACAAAAATTATCCTTTGAACTAATAACAATAACTCACTTTTTGTAAAGCATGTTAGGGTTGACACGGCACTTTATTCAGAATAGTCCTATTATCCCCATTTTGTAGATAAGGAAATTGAAGTTAAGACAAATAAATTGAGTCACTCAAGAAAACTCAGTAATTAGTGAAGCTGGGATTTGAACCCAAGTGACCAAGTCCAGTGATCTTTTCACTATACTATTCTGCTTCCAGACAGAACTCTGCTGATTTGAAAAACAAACAGCCCTCAGAATTTTCAAAAGGATTCATTTCAAGTCTATTCAATTCAACAAACTTACTATGTGCTATATGCTTTATTAAGGAACTATTCTAGGTGCCAGGGATAGAAAGATGAAAATTAAATAAACCTTGTCCTCAAAGGACTTGAATTATACTAGAGGAATTTAATATTCTTAGAAGTCATAGTATTATAGATTTAGAGCTGCAAGGGACTTTCGGGATCATCTGTTTCAACCTATCCCCTCTCCCCCACAAGAATAAATATAATTTTATGGCTGAAAAAAATACTAATAACTGGGAAGACCAGGAAAGTGTTTGTGTTTGTAGGAGGTGGC